AAACAAACATTATAGTGCCACCGCAGAAACGTGATGACTGTGCAAAAATAACTACATAAAAGACACCACTGTTACAGAAAGACTTTACACGCTATTTAAACTGCCGATCGCGAACGGAACAAACCGTGATTGAAACTAACTGTGATGCCGCTCTTTATTCGTTGCGCTAACAGTCGCCTGTCAGTGGCAGACCCGCCCCTTTTAAAGTGCCAGCTTAATCCATCAATCTGCGTTTCACTGGATGGAATTTATTTGATTCCTTCGTGGTTTTTGCGATCCTCAGTCCCACTTTATAGCTGTGGACATCGAGGCTCTAATCCCTCAGTGTGTCCGAGGACCGGCAACCCGAGGCCAAGGCCAAGGCCAAGGCCAAGGAATTGACTCTCAAGACCAAGGCCAAGGACCAAGGACCGACCTTCGGTCCTCGAGCCGGTCCTCGAGGCCAAGGACCGGCTCGAGGAACACATCCCTGCAACACACCTGATTCAAATGATCAGGTCGGCTTTCCAGATGCCTGATAAAGATCCTGATCATTTCAATCAGGTGTATTAGAGGAGATAAAGATGTCACAATAATATGTTCCATGCAGCCCCACTAAACTAAAAATGGCATTCTAATTATTACTGATTTTGTGGAATATGAGTTATGCAGTAAATATCCACCGTTTTTTTTGTCCATTTCGTCAGGCTGCCATTTTGCCACTTTCTATCGATTGAAAATTACATCACAGTTGCTCATGGCTCAAGTAACAAACAATCATGGCTCAGTTTTATAAAAAAATGTGAGCTGTGATTGGTCGTTACCTGAGCCCTGAGCAACTGTGATGTCATTTTTAGTTGACAGAAAATGGCAAAATGGCCGCTCCTTGCTAATAACGGGTGGATTTTGCTGCTTAACTCATATTCTACAAACACACCACAAATCAGAATGTTGTGCTTCGACTAGTGGAGCCGAATAGAACCCATAACTGGAAAGAAAATTTTCAGGTTGACTTCCCCTTAAAGAGAATGTGATCCAAATCAGGTTGAAAATGTTTCTCAGTGAATGCTATGTTTTTTCTCGACTCAGAATTTCCTGCATGAGACCAGTCCTCTTTAGAATGGGGAAAATATTCACCGGCAGTTCATTCCTTAAATTCAAGATTAATATCCTACAGTTAAATGCTTTCACATTTAACCACATGGAAGCACCACCTCATTCAGATACTTAATGTTCATGAACGAAACCGCAGAGACAAATCTGTGTTGAACCTCACAAAATTGTCTAGTTATTCACTGTGAATTACAGGTATAGTAGAGCACATAAATTATTTATTAATTAAATAATCAGTCATGCTACCCCTACTCTCCTTTTCCCACTGCATGGTGGTACCTTACAGTAAAGAGAACTAAATACAGGAGACCTTCATTTGTGTCACTTGTTTGTCGGCATGTCTCATTTAGGCTAATATGTTCGATGCAGCTTGGTTTTGACAGTTCCTCCCAGTACTATTTTGAAATGAAACGAAAGGGAGTTGAGCCAAGATGCAAGTTTGCAGTAGGAACGTGTCTTAATTCTCTTTAAGCCTCACTTAGTCATCTTAGCAAGAAAGAATTGTCTTTATTATGCAGCAAACTTTCATTTAAAAAAAAAAAAAAAAACTTTGCGTGAACAATTTGTTTTCATAGCTCTGTCGTAGACATCACCACTCAAGACCTTCATATCTCTGTGATTCTGCACCCAGAGCATGTGTGTCCGATTTCAGAGTCATGTGTGAGCATTTGGCATTTCGATGTCTCTTCGTAGGCGACAGCCGAGCAGAGTGAGTGCAGCTTTAAATAGGTCAGACACGGGTGCTGTTTTAGTAACTGGTGGAATGAGGAGTGGCCATGGCAAGAGAGGAAGGAAGGAAGGATGGAGGTACCATAAAACAGGCCGCGACTGGCAATGTTCATTAGTGATTGTTTGCTTGAGTAATCTTTGCAAACTACCAAACTGTAACTCAGTTGCAGTATGAGTATGAACTTCAATCTATTGAAAAAACATCCTTTGCTTGGTAAGAATTTAAGCCACATCGATCAAACATCACAGTTGGGATTTTTATTAGGGCCCGGCCGATATAGATTGGCCGATTATGGCACTTCAAACATCAGCTGAAATTTGACAGGCTCTGTAGGCCAGTGTTTTTCAATCTTTTTCGAGCCAAGGCACATTTCTTTCATTGAAAAAATCCCGCGGCACACCACTACCTGAAAATGTGAAAAAAGCTTATTTTAACAATTAAGTGTTGTACTGTTACGATAAGCGTTTTTTAACATTGAAAATTAACACAATATTATAACACATTGGTTATGAATCAAATCAACATCAATGCAATATTTGGTGCATTTGTTTTAATGGCAAATAAAATATAGTCAATTCGAAGTTTGACTTGCTCAGGGTTGGATTTGTTTCTGTGTGACAGCCGGTTCTTTTTCTCCCGGTTGATGGCGCTCTCCTGCAATATTGTACCAATCCCTTTTCCCATCTTGAGTCTTTGTATAATTCCAACATCATTCAAATGACTTTTCTGCTGAATGTGTCGCTTGAGGTAGTCCAGCTTCCATTCAGTCTGTATTTTTCCATCGGAAAATTTGCTTACAGCTTAAGCTTTGCTGCATGTTTTGCAGAGCAGACCTTTCTCACTCGAAAAAGGAAATATCTCACCCAGTTTCACTGCTTGTTCTTCTATTTGCACATACTCCAACAGCCATTCCAACTTAAAAAGAACCACAGTTCATTCTTATTTTGGTGTGCCACGGCACAGGGTTTGAAAAACACTGTCGTAGGCTGTTGACAATTGTTTAGCGTATGAGTTGCTGAGAGTCTTTCGCAATCTGATTTCCTAACAGCTGAAACATGACATGGTTGGTTTTTTTTCTCCAAGTCAAAATATTGTCATTTTAAAGGAGACATAAAATGCAGTCACAGTACATGTATCACACTCTCGAAACAGCCCTGTTCAGAGCAGCTGTGCTTTTCGGTGCTGTCCTGTCTCATGCAAATGAGCCACTGCTCAGCCCACCGCTTCTTCCTTGCCTTCTTGCCTGGAAAGTCATGGAGTGGTATTATATATGTAGCCTGATGGGTTTTTTTTTTTCATTTTAGTTTTATGTAGTCACTTTAGCACAGTAAGGGCTCAATCTTAAGTTCTTGCGAACATATATATACCGGTATATATTTTCTTACATAGATAACTTGGTTAAAATGTACTTACTTGGTTGTGTAATTTAACTATTGATGAGTGAGCAGTAACCCCAGAGAGACGAATTTGTGTACTACATCAATTAAAATGTAACAGTTTCAGACTAATGTGTGACTATTTTTAAAAATAAGTTCAACTACACTTGCAAACTTTCCAAAGTTTCCAGCACCCATCATTTTTGCTGCATATGATCAATTTGGAAAGTTAACTGGCCCAAAATTGCTCAATCAACAAACCATGTAATTTTGTTGTCTCGATCCTCAGAAAAAAGGTAAAGGACGGGAATGAAGTCATCAAATCCAACCCTTCCAAGCGCCACCGGGACCGGCTGAACGGGGAGCTGGACCGTCTGACGGACCTGCTCCCCTTTTCCGAGGATGTTCGTTCCTGTCTGGACAAACTGTCTGTCCTTCGCCTTAGCGTCGGATACCTGCGCGTCAAGAGTTATTTCAAAGGTGAGTTCTTGGTCATACACTCGCCCCCCCCTCCCCCTCAAAATAAAAATCAAATTTAAATTAAAATGTCACCTTCTCAAAAGTGTCATGACATTCCAATGCTGCTTGTTCCCACAGCCTTTCACCTGCTTTGTTTTTACAGTTGCATCATTCAACTCTCACTGTAGTGTCTATAATCACTGCTGTCTTATGAGGGTCGACATTAAGCCTTTTTGGGTGGTGGCCCAATATCGCCACTGGCCCTGATTTAAAACAGTACTGAACAAAAGTCATAATTACAAATTTCATCCTACCTGTGCCTGAAATATTGAAGGGAGTAGTCCTAGTGGCCAAAATGTACCTACGGACGGGAGATCAATGCGGCCGCTACAAAAAATTATCCACAATCACCACCCTCAAGTATATGGATATTGTGATTTAAAATAATACTTAACACAATTTATAATTATATATCTTGGACTACCAGGGGATAAAGTAGAGAAGCATGTAGTCTTAGTGGCCAAAATAAATGTACCTCATATCAGTGGGCAATCAATGCAGCCCCTTAAAATTATCCACACTCTTTACTCCCCATTCTACAGATGTTGTGATTTAAAACAGTTTTCAACAAAATATATAATTATATATCTCAACATGCCCTCAGATGAAATAGGGAAGTCTGTAGACTCCGTGGCCAAACTGCACAGGGGTACGGAGCGTACAATGCGCAAATGAATGGAGTGAAGGAATGTGCACAGCAGGTGTAAAAAGAGCACAGACGATCAATTTCAGTGGATAAAATAAAAAATACAGTAAATATTCCCATCCCCGGAATTCTATGAAAAGGAATATCCTTCACCCGGAACAAAAGCCTGTGCATTAACATTTTGACTATGACATTACATGTTACCGGAACTTACGTAAGCGGAAATTCCACTACACGTAACCCGGATTGAGACGTCAGGCCGCGGGAGCTTAAATACACGCAACGCCCACCCGATGCTACGGAACGACGACGCTGAGACACATTTTCACTTCGCATTTTTCGATCATCAGGTTCGAAACACGATGTGTAAGTGAGTTTTTATTGGCGTGCGTTTTACTGTAATTGTGAATGATTTTAACTTGATTCACTTAACGTCCTGTAGAACGCGGCACTAGCTTAAAAGCAGCACCCACTCGACACGACGGAAGAAACGTGTTCGCTTCGCCGTTTTCATTCATCAGATTCGAAAGGAAGACGTGTACGTGACTTTTTATTGGCGTGCGTTTTACTGCAATTGCGAAAGATTTTAACTTTATTCACTTACGTCGTGTAGATCATCGCATCGAAACGTAGAAGAACTGTAATGACTGGAGCGGAGCGAGTGAAATGCATCCGTTTGAGCGAGGCTGGACACAAAGTTAAAAGCATCCAGCAGACACTTGGAGTCGGAAAGACGCAAATCTACGAAACTTTAAAAAACAAGGCATCGATTCAGCTCCTGTTGACAAGCCACCATCCAGCGAGGAAGCAATGCAAATGGCAACAAATCCATCAGTATGCACAAGAATTACCAGACATCGGTGATCAACGGGACAGTTACTTGCAACTAGCAAGAAAACTGTATGGCACGCAGGCAAACATTGTCATAAACCAGCACCCATGACAGCAGACGCTTTCAATAGCACTCTCACATTTACACATTTAATAGCACGCTCCTTAGTTTGTAAGGTGTAGGCAGGGATTACATTTAGATTTTATATGCATGTGTAAATGGTTTAAAACTTCCTTTCTTTATAAATCTCGTTTAATCTTAAAGTGCATTACTATATTTTTCAAAACCAATTACTTGTTAAAGTTTGTACAACCAGTGGGATCAGTTGCAATGCATATATGTGAATGATAAAAGTAAATTGCACATTTGTCGAAGGAAATGTAAGGTGCTTCATGAAATGATTTGTAAAAGATATGTTCATTTAATTTCAACATTTTCCTAATGTTCTTGTGCTTCTTTATACGAAAACAAAGGAAAGACATGTTGTTTTGGTTATTTATAGCAAAGTATGGTATCATTTTAATGGTCCGGCCCACTTGACATCTACCCAGGCCGTATGTGGCCCACCATGTGAAATGAGTTTGACACCCCTGTCATAAACCAAAGAATGCATCCAACAAAACAATCCAAAATAGACACATTTTTTTCCCCAAGACAGAAAAAAAATAAACATTAAAATACTGTACGTATTTTACTGTTGTGATTTTTTTTTGGATACACCTGTATTGCAGTTTTTTTGATATAAAGTTTTTTGACAGTATATTTTGTATTTTATTGATTGTGTTGTTGCACGTGCATTTTGTCAACATACTTGCGGGTTTATAAAGGACATGTACCATGCTCATTTCCCAAATGAGGAATTTCTGTTATCAGGACAAATTGGACAGCGCAAACACGAGAGAATATTTACTGTATGTCGATATATATCGATATATCTATATATCTATACAGTATCTCTCTCTCTCTCTCTATCTCTCTCTCTCTCTCTCTCTCTCTCTCTCTCTCTCTCTCTCTCTCTCTCTATAAAAAAAACA